CAACGATTGTCCTATCACTCAGTGGAATTATTCACTAAAATAGTAAATCGAGCATTATTTGTTATAAAAAAATAACAAACAAATTTTTTTCATACTTTGCTATTTATCTCTTAAAGCTTACTGAAAATTTTTGTGCTTTATAAAAAAAAAGATGGATAATGTTATTGTTAAACATGGGGACAATCGGGTTGTCCAATAGACATGTTTGGTTGTCCAAAGGAAATATTAACTTCTAATGCTAATTATTAACTTCTAATTTTGTGTTATTTCAAATGAATATTGATAAGGAACAAAAAGAAAAATTTACGTTAAAAATTAATACAAACCAAAGTACGATTTGCATAAAATAATAATAGAAGTTTTTAAGTGCTTAAGAAGCAATCAACATCCTTAAAACAATTAGTCTTATAATCAACTACACAACTTAGACTAAGCAAAGAACGCTTTGAGATTTTAATAAACAGTCTCGTTAAAACTATCACTACGGAAAACATTGTGCGCAATAGTCCATTGCAATGAAGAAGCAATTAGACATGAAACAATAAACTTGTGAAACAAAATAATAACAGACTTTTTAACAGAACAATAAGAAGCAATGAAATCAACGCTATCAATAATATTAAAACTAACTTCGAAGATAATCAACGTCGCTAAAAACAATAATAATTTAAATAACTTACTCTACGCAAACTAAACTTTGCAGTCTTTAAAAAACAGTCACATTGATACAATCATTACGGACTACTATATCCAGGTACTGAAGTTTAATAATAACATTTACTTAAAAATCTATCATAGTTCTTTTTTCTTATGCATAATAGAGATCAATAGGTGTACGTTAAGAAACTTATTTTTCAAAAACATTAATATTATTTAAAAATTTATAGTAATCAACCCCTCTTTTGGCTTGTACTTCTGGACAATCAAGTTTCCTAATTATATCTTCATACGCTATGTATGATACATCTTTCTCATCTGTAACAAACAGTTTTCCGCCTTTTACGCACTTCAAGAATACCACTTTGATTTCGCCGTCCTCTTCAATGTCGCTTTGTGCAATGCATGCATACGTATGGAACGATCGACTAAAATCACAGCTTCATTTGAACGGATCTCATCAACACTTTGTCGAAAATTCCTCTACTGGGTTTTCATATTAAAAACATGTTTCTTTAGAGTTTTCATTTCTTCTTCAAAATCCCTTACCATGTTTTCTACTGTCTTCCTTCAGTTTTTTTACGTTCTTGACAGTTTTCATTTTTGTCCCTTCTTTCAGGTAGGTTTCCATTTCTCTCACCCACTCAAACCATTGTACGAGGGTGAATCAAATATAAACGGTAATTTTACTGTTGACTGTACCAAATACGTTCGGACCTGATGTGGCGGTGTTGTTGTTGTTGTTTTGTTTAATAGGAGTGGGGGTAACAGCTTACCTCGCAGCAGTGTTGTGTTCTGCCGTCAGTACAGCCATGACCGAGCAAGAGGTACATCCATCTGTTGCGCAACGCATCGTCATAAAATTTTTAGCAAATGAAGATGTTAAACCTTCGGAAATTTTTACTCGTTTGCGGGCACAGTTTGGGGACACTACTCTGTCTCAGAATCGAGTGTATACGTGGGCCAGAGAATTTCGGGATGGACGAGAACGTGTGGAAAACGAAAGTCACCGTCGACGCCCAAGATCAAGTCTTACAGATGAAAACATTAGTGCCGTTCGAGAGCTTATTGAAGGTGATCGCCGGTTAACTGTTCAAGAAATCTCGTCGGAAATTGGTATCAGCTACGGGAGTGTTCAGTCTGCAATCACAGACCACCTTGACTTCCGAAAGATTAGTGCTCGATGGGTTCCGAGGTTGTTGACCGGAAATCAAAAACAGGTCAGGTCGGTGATCGCTGGGAGACTTCTGCATCGATTTCAAGAAGAAGGTGAAGATTTTTTGAGGCGCATCGTCACATGTGATGAGACGTGGGTCCACCATTACACTCCCGAATCGAAAATGGCAAGTAAGGAGTGGCGAAGGAAGGATGAAGGCTGCCCAGTGAAAGCCAAAACTCGTCTCTCAGACGAAAAAGTTCTTGCAACAATTTTTTTTGACTCAAGGGGAGTTCTACTCATTGATTTTCTTCACGATCAACGAACAGTGAATGCAGCTTACTACTGCCAGGTCCTACAGTCGGCAAAAACCAGTTACCGGAACAAAAGAAGAGGTGTGCCCATTAGAGATGTCATCCTTCTCCATGACAACGCAAGGCCTCACACCGCATTGTTGACAAGGGATAAATTGGAAGAAATGGGCTGGGAAACTCTCGAACACCCTCCTTACAGTCCAGACTTGTCCCCTTGCGACTACTTTTTGTTTGCGCCCTTGAAAGAATCACTTGGAGGAAAACGATTTGAAAGCAATGACGATGTCGAGAAGCACGTGCGCGATTGGTTGACAACTCGCCCTCAATCTTTTTATGAAGAAGGAATATTCAAGCTTCCAAATCGGTGGCAGAAGTGTGTAGATAATGCAGGAGACTATATTGAAAAATGTTGAAGGTATAGTTTTTGTATAATATTATTCAATAAATATAATTTTAAAAATTACCGTTTATATTTGATTCACCTAATATTTTATCTTTAACAGCATCTACGTTTATTTTGATTTTTTTATTCTTACAGTCTTCACAAATCCCTAACATGCAATCATGTTTATTAATGTCACAAACAGTTTCCAAAATCAGTGTACTTAGGTTAGTGCTATCGATTACTTTTCTATTTTTTAAAGCTTTTATTTTAACTGCTGCATTTGTGTGTGTTCTACAGAGACACATATCCCTGCCATCCACAGTTGGTCTAACTATATAGAAGGGTCGATGTTTAGTGAAATAGTAGTAGGAACATTTGATATCCGGATTCTCGGACCTAAACGCTTTAAATAGGTTTTTCATGGAGTCCAAGAGGAACCGTTTCTGTGCCTTCTCTTTGCTTTTGGTAACGGTCTCTTTTTTGCCGGCAGTATTTCTTGACATATCATCTCTTTGGAAAAAACATGCTATCTTATTTTTCAGGACCGTATTTCCACTGCATGCACTTTTAGTTGTTCTCATTCTTCCTTGTAAACCTAAACCCTCTTTTATGATTTTATTCTTTTCAGATGCATTTATGTCTTTAAAAATATTTTTCAATATTGTTTTCTCTTTTCGGATTTTAATTTTTTTATATCTTTCTCTAATGGTATTTGTTAAAGTTTTATATTTGTTGTGGTATCCTTCAGTACTTATACCTGCATTTATTTTTTCTGACTCTTTTTCTTTAATCTTACGTATTTCTTTTTCCTTGCGAGCAGCTCTCTTTTTATATTTTTCATATTTTTTCTTCCACATCTGAGCCGCGCTTAGTAATCGTAAGTTTTCTTTATATAATTTAGTTCTATCTCGACGAACCCTTTTTCTTCCGTTTTCTTTATTTTTATGATTTGAAAACACATCGGGACTTGGAAGCGGAGTGGGTACATTTAGGGCTAGGGGTATATTTATTTCTTGCAGAATGGACGGGGAGCTTGGAGGTGTAACGGCAAGTACGTTTTCAATTGTTTTAATTCGTTTTCTTTGTTCTTGTTTTCGCAATTTCCAAATAGTCCTGCAATGTTTTTGTTCGCTCGGCTGCATATTTGAAATCAATTTTTTGTTCTTATGATAGCTTTCTCTCTTTCTTCTTTTTCGTTCAGCATATTTTTCTGGCCCGCTTTGAGTTTTTCTCTATAGCGTCTCGATTTTTCTTTTTCAGACATTCCCATTCTATAAAATAAATACCAAAAATCATATAGAACAACTATTTTAAAATGTAAAGCCAGGAAAATTAATAAAATTTGTAGTTTTATTATACAAAGAATCAAACTGCACGAATTGGTCCTACGGACAACCAATCATGTCCCATGGACAACCAATTTGGTTGTCCAGACGACAGGTTGTCCAAGGGACTTTTTTTAAAATTTAAGCTACCTGAGCAAGAAGTGAGGTTTTGTGTCTTTTATATCACTCTCACAATAAAATCAAGAGTAAATACAATCTGTTGCACTATAATTTAATATAATATAACAATCTATTTACCTATTTCTTGTGGTGGTCCGGGGGACACGCAATAAACACACCCACGTTCGAACTCGGACCTCGATCAACTGACGCCACGGTTTCGCCGAAATTAAGATGGCGACTAAGTCTATTCACTTACTGGTATAAATAGCTTTTTGTCATTATAGCTGTCGCGCCATCTCTGTATTGTTGCTAGAACTTTTTACCGGTTGTCCGATAGACTTAAGCCACGTAAGATTTTACGGGGACAAAAACTTAATGCAAAAAAATCCTAAAATGGATAAAATAAAAAATATCGATACGTTTTTTTGACAACAGTTATAATCATAATGTTTAAATATGTAATTACAAATACCTGCTGGATATTGATTTTTTTCGTGGCATGAAATACCATGGTGCGACGTTACTTGGGGACAAACGTTAATACTATGGATCGAAGTTTTGGGTCACTCGGACAACCATTAAATAATGGATAAATTTGAATATTTAGTAAAGATGTTGGTTAATGATATATTTATTTTAGTATTCATTTTAAGAAAACTATACATAAAACAATTATAGTTTTAAAGAATTCTTGTTAGTGGTCTCACTTTGTCTGGGACACAATGAGTTGGTCGTCGGACAAGTAAAAGTTGATTGACCCAAATGCTTTATTATTTTGCCTACCGTTGACCTATGTATATAATCGTTACTGATTTTGCATTGTGTCGAATTTCAGCCAATGCAATGTCCCAAATAAGCATGTTTGCTTTAAGTTTGACATTTAATTACCGATACGATCGGTAAAACAGAAAATTTTCTATCGTACTTTGTTATTAAGTAAACTTATTGTTAACTTTATTTTACTTACACTACACTATCCTTAGTAAATATTCTATATTTTCGTAAAAACTTATTTTCTCACTTAGTAAACATGATTGTAGTGGCACGGCAAGCGCTTACGATGACGACGACGGGGACGACACCAGATCCACACGCACAGCACCTGATAAAAAGTAAGCGTTTGTTAAAATTTATCTCAACATTTAAGCTTTTATGTAGTTGATTGGTTAGTCATTAGTTAAGGCTTCTAGAAGAAAAAGTTACATACATATATGACGACAAATATGTATAGAAGATATGATTCCTGTGTGATTGATCTTTATATCGCTCAACTATTGCAGGCAAAACCACAGCGAGATTGAAAAGCGACGTCGAGATAAAATGAACACATACATTTTAGAGCTTAGTTCTATGATACCAATGTGCGGGGCCATGGCTCGAAAATTGGACAAGTTGACCGTGCTCCGCATGGCAGTGCAGCATTTGCGTTCTGTGCGGGGCGCCCTCTCTGCGTGCCCTCTCACCGCTAGACCCCGGCCCTCTTTCCTCTCCGAGCGTGAACTGAACTCACTCATCCTACAAGCGGCCCACGACTGCTTCCTTCTGGTCGTAGGCTGCGACAGAGGCAGATTACTCTATGTTTCAGCGTCAGTCAAGCGAATGCTGCATTATGATCAGGTTAGTAAATGTTAAACTAAAGCTGTTAGTTATGTAAGTCATACGCCATCTCAATCCCATTTAGTTTAATTTTGGACTATTTTTGTTTCCATATATATTATTTAGTATCGTTTTACGGAGTGTAACTAAAACGTGTACTCATGTTTTAAGTTAATTTTAAATTAATAGTATGAAACTGTAATAGATTTAATGCCTAGAGTTCCGGATTGTATTTTTCTTATAACTGTGAATAAAAAATTGGAATTTCTTTATTATAATTACTTCATTTATTGCTACTAAATTACGATATCGTTAACAGTCTGTAGTCTCCGTCTTGGAAGACCAGAGTTTTAATAATACGGATGCCAAAAAAGCTCAACTAAATTGTGTAATATGAAAACGGAATCCTAAAATATAGCAGTTTCAATTTCAGTCAAGATTTGTCTACTATGAAATGATAGGTTATTTGCAGCCATTTTTGAGTTTTGTTTTTTATACTCATTAACTGCCCGTCGCATAGCGAGGATTAAAAGTTATCGCTCCGTTTTCTGATCGTTTTACGATATGTTGTGATTTTAAGTAATGAAGATTACTATGAAATGATAGTGTGCGCTGCGCATCCGATGATAGTTTGCACCGTCGGTGGCAAATTTATTGACAGAAATTTATTGGAACATCAGCGCCGTCCTTTTTTTACACTGGACCGCGGGATGAATTTAGGAAATCGGTTCCGATGGGAGCATCGGAATCGATTTCCTAAATTCAGCTAAACTGTGCATAACAGTGTGAAAGCGCAGATGATATAAGGCGGCGCATCGGAATGGCATTCAGTCAGATGTCTCTTCAAATGCTGCATTCGATGTGGATGTATGTTTTTACGGTATCATGGTCGACCTTTTGAGCCGCATCTGTAAATGTGTAAGATCTCTGTGTAAGCGGTACATGTGTAGTGCGTGTAATTAATATGTAAATACTATTAGACATAGTCTGGCTAATGAAAGATGAGATTCGAAAACGTGGGATATTTAAAGAAGAATTCCTATAGTATCACGTGTGTAGTACAAAAAAATATTTATGTGATTAACAAGTATGATATCATTGGATTAACATTACAAATTACAAACGACAAAACGTTTTACACTCGACTGAAACTTCTTTTATTGGATAATTCATTTTACAGTGTAGAGGAATTTCTTTCGAAGAAATTGTAATTTTATTTTTATTTCACGTCGTTATATTTCGACAATATTTTGTGTTTATTTAAATATTTTTAGTTATACTACTTTATTTTCTATTCATTGTTATTCTTTATATTATTGACGATCATATTATCCCTTGGCATTATATTTTAAATTGTAATCTTGTGACATTGTAATAATAATAATAACTTATTGATAATATGACTTGATTCTGTTATATTTTATATTTCAAGAGTTAAGTACTACGTGTTTTGGAAATTGTTTCGTCAATCGTGTGTCTACAGACACACATAATTCAGGTATGGTATTGGTAAATCAATGTAGTCTTGGCGCGCTAAACCAATTAACTAGTTTGTGCCTGTTCCCTAACAGTGATTGGCGTGACAATTTAAATGTTCTAATTATTTTTCCCAGTGACTGATATACACGGTATTATTTTGGAATATGGATGAATCTGCCGATATTAAGTTACAAAAAATTATACAGGCAGCCGCAAATTATATTACACTTTTAAAGTTTTGCGATGCATTATACTAACATCTCAAATTGTGTAGGTATTTGCATACATGCCTATTGTCCCGATTGTGTTCACGGTCTGACTACTACGTGGACTCATCTAAACGTCGGGACAATAGATAGGTATGCAAATACCTATTAAATTGTTTACTCGCGTTTTGAAAAGGTAGGCGAAAATTATGTCGCTAAATTTTGCCAAATTTATAATATACAATTGAAATGAATCGTGGCTGCGCCACATAACAATGTTATTTTAATTAAATAACTTAATAATTTCACAAAATAATTAAAATAATTTTTACAATTGAATATAATAATTAAAATTAAAATTGAATATTTTGAAATAATTTTTTGGCGCACAATGTTTAATATAGTGTATTTAAAAATTGTCGAGAAAAAATATTTTAAAAAGTCATGGGCACCATGTGGGTGTAACGGGTGTGACTGCTGCCATATCACGCGATCTTAAATCCCATAGAATTGGTATAGGGTACGTTAACAGCCAACTAACCTTATTAGATCTTAGTGCTAGTTTGTCGTATAAAAGAGAAAAATTGGAAGTATTATTTTCCGCATATATTACAAATCAGTAGTCCAAATGTGCAGAACATATCCATGAATAGAAGACCGTATGCAAAAAATGGAATATAATAGACAAAAACTACGATATTACATCTTATCAACCGTTTATTATTGATCTATTGGAAGAAACGCCATCAGAATTTCAGATGAAGAATGTTAATTGATAAAATAGTTCCAATTAATTTTAATATTTTATAATTCCCATTTAAGTTTATTTCAATCAATTTCTTAATATGTATAGGTCAAGAGAAACTTAAACATTTTTTACCGCTAAGTTCTTTACTATATGAGTACTTAATTCATTGATAGCGTCTTGTGTACATATGTATATCTTTACGGAAACCATATTGAGATTTAGATATAAGATTATATTTATTTAAAAATTTAAACGTACGAGTATTGATCAACTTCTCAACGATTTTTGTAGAGATTCGATATTGGTAAATTTTTTACGTCGTCTTGTCATCAGCATCACTCGTGCAAACTGGCGTTGCAATTGATTTTTAAGCGCTTTGGAAATACACCCGTACTGAAACGTAAGTTTACCAAGTTATAAATTACAAAAGGCAAATAAACTAAATTCCATTTGGATTTCTTTGAGGCGGTCGGTTGCAACATCTAAATTCCCTATAAATAAATATATTTGCTTTAACTAAAGTTAAACCTGACGCAAAGACTACCAAAAATTAACAAATCGAAAGCAAAACAAATTAACAACCACGATGGCCGAACGGTTTGCACTATGGTCGCTTCATGAGTAGGTTGGAGTAAATTCTTCTTGGGTAATGCCCTGGAGTAAATTCCGTCGCCCTGGGACTTTTTTACTAGCAATAGTGCTCCTTGTGAAAGAGTTCGTCTAAGGATGTACTGCCACCTTACCTGTTTCTGTCGCCAAGCGGTAATGTGAGCATTACTGCGTCCCGGTTTTGAAGGGTGCTAGTGAAATTACAGGCACTTATGCCTTGTCAACTTATGTGTCAGGACGATGGGCGCAGTGGCAGTGCCCCTAAGATCTTTGCGACTTGTAGCTCTGAGTGGCTATGAATAGGCGTGTCGCTTACAAGTGCAGGACTTGTCCATTCCATCACTTGGTACTACGAAATAAAAAGAAAATACTCAAAGTACAGAAAATTCTTTAGTTTTAAGACCAGGTGATATTTAGTAAAAAATGGATCAAGATTGTTATGTCGCACTACCAATGAAATTGGACAATTCAAGCGAATACTCTTGTGTTCTTTGTCCTGTTATTTTCCATTAAATTTTGCTAATCATATTGAAAAGAGGATTTCGCACTTAGTTTTTCTTTTTCTTTTTTTTCTTAAGAATATTACTAAAATCGCAGCAAAATGATCTATACTTGACACGTCAAGTTACAAGATTATTCCTTTTTTTTATGATTTCCGTAAAACCATACCGACAAGTCTTGGTAATTTTTCTTTTACTAGTCCATTATATTTTATAGGCATTAGAATGGCAATGGCATGAATATTGCGGTTGTCAGCTAGTTTTTAATAAATAACTTGAATATCATCTTTCGTTAGCCATACTCTACGAGTGCTTAGAACAGTAAGAACTGATTATCTACTATTACAAAATGCCCATAAACATTGACATTTATCACCTACCGTTTAATAATGTATACATATGAAAACGTGTGTGTTCATTAAATTGATATTATTACGTAACAAATGTTTTGTATTAATGTCAACCTTATTGCAACCAAAAAGAACTCAAAACCGTCAGTGTAAATTGGCAGAGTTTTATTTTCGGATATTGTTCCAGCGCTTCATTCATAGCCGACATTATATAACTTTTTATGAATGAACTACCCATTCATTTTAAATGTAAGGTTTGCAGCAATAGAGCTGTGACGGAGATGTATCGATTTAGAAATTCATTCATATTTAATCAAACTTGTATCAACTTTTTTATTCACTCTATTTTATCTGAAATGTTCTTATATGAAATGATAATCGTTTGGGGTCTATATGATAATATGATTATACCTTTCCGTTATATCCTGTACCTCGTATTGGTAAAACTTAAAATCAATTTTACTGCAGTCTGAACTCCTGGGCCAGAGTCTGTTCGACATCTTGCACCCAAAAGACGTCGCCAAAGTAAAAGAACAGCTATCGTCGTCGGATCTTAGTCCCCGGGAACGGCTCATCGATATCAAGAGTAAGTATTTATTTATTTACAACTATAATAATTGAAATTGGACATTTATTAAATAAGCACTTATGGAAACGGGGTGTCTTTTTAAGTGTTGTAAGTAAAATTTACATAGGTGTTCATATCTACTTGGTAATAATAGCAGGTAATTAGTGTTGCTCAAATTATCGAAGACCAAGACCAGACTAACCCAGGTTTGTTCAGGCGTACTGACGCAAGACCGGACGTGCTGACGCCCGGTCTTCGTTTTCGTATTAAATTCGCTCTTGGTCTTGGTCTTGCTGCAAGTGTCTCGCTAGTCCTGCAACTACCTATTTATCAAAATACTATTGCCTTGCTTACTGGCGTTATCTGGGAATAGAAACGAACAAATGTGAAAAAATACACCTGTATATGAGAGGAATATTTAACAACACCTCAAAATATAATTAAGCACAAAGTGTCTTCACTGATTAACGCACTGCATAGTAAATAAATGACTACTACAAATAAACCACTTGAATATCAAAATATGTACTACCGACAAAACGATAAAACCTATCAAAATCAGATAACCTTACTTACCTAGTTCACTACTATACTCGTACAATACTGACTTGCTCCTTAAATTACTCAATGTTACAGTTGAATTTCTAAAATTCATTTGCACCACATTAATGAATGTTTAATTACTTCACCAAATAACATTTATAGAATTTTTGTCTTGTTACTAAAAACACTTAACACCTAACCTAAATTCTAACCTAAATTCTTTTTGTTCCATCTCTTTGACTGAAAATAGTTTTGGCGCGCTTCTTTTCGCGCGCGCTGTCGTTGCATTCAACGCGATTCGAAGTTGCCTATACGGTGCAAAGCCGCGTGCATTTGTTGTTGTTTTTGTTTATCTATTACGTCCGAATCCGCTAAACTGATAGTATGTTTTTTATAATCGCTCGTGTATATGTCGATGGCAATGTGTATAGTACCTAGGCAATCTATAGAATACCGGCAATGTATATAATAGTTAATATTTTTTTAACTATTGTACACATTTCCTATGCATTGTATAGAATACCTAGGTATTGTATAGAATGTGTGTTTAGGTTAGGTTAGTACCTATATGGGTAATCCAGAAGCGAAACAATTTGCGTTTCCGAGCTCGGTCGAAAATTATTATGGAAAAGCTAAATATTTAATGCTGTATTACAAACAAAGAAAAACTTATGTACCTAAAAATTTAATGGGTGCTTGGTTCCAATGAAGGAGTTAAAATTTGTATAGATGAAAATGTAATGTTTCAAAAACTGAGTTATTTCATAGCAATGTTTTGTGCATATTATGATTGCATTTAAGTATTTTTTTATATACTTCATTTGATAATTACAATTACATTTTATTAATTAGTTTGATTTGTTGGGAATGGGAATTAACTGTTATACATTTAAATACCATCCTTATTATGATGCCGATCGAAACTAATTAATACATTTTAAGGAACATAGAACTTTAATTTGAAGTGACACCATTCATTTATACAATTTATTAAAAACAGAAATATACTTGAAGTACCAATGTCTATTCTATTATTTTAATGGCGGCCACTAGGCTTGGACCAGTGTCAATTTCGTACCAATTTCTATAATTTAAATTCACCTCTGGTCAGCTCACAGAGATAGATATATTCAAATATTAGATTATTATCCTTTTTATCTTGCCCTTAAAAACTGTGCAAGGAAGTATTTGTTTAAGTGGATACTTATTACTAAATAATCACAGCTGATAAATCCGATATATTCAGAAGTACAAATATCGACAGTAAAACACATTATAATAATTTTCCAACCTTAAAGGAAATATTTCATGGTGTTCCTGTAATTTAAGATATTATGGTACTTATAAGGAGTTAATATTTATTTGACCTTTTTAGTCGGCATAATGTAAAAAAAATAGGATTTTCACGTTTGGACTGTTCAATTCCTAGATGAGGCAAGCAACTTTGACAGTCTTTGAATGCAGTATTACTTATTAAAAATATATATATATAGTCTCTAAGAAACAAAACATCCTGTCTACAATATTTAAAGTACTTTCCCTCCATGTCCTATAGCCGTGAGACGCTCTGTATATTGTTCTTAGAAAAAAGTGACATTGACGATTGATTCATATTTTAGAACAACGCAACAGAGTACATATAGGCATAGTTAAAGTGACGGCCAACCAAATTTCGAAAAAATAACTTTATAATATTTACCTATTACTTACACTTGTTTTAAACTTAGCTAAACAGACTATATTCTCTATGAGATAAGGCTGTGTTTGAATTTGTGTATTTTGAGGCAATACTAATTGGTTATAATTTTAGGCATAACAATAACAATATTAGGGTATGTTATACATAAGCGCGTCGCGCTGCGCCTGCTCCTTAATTAGTTTTTCGATTTTCGGTGTTTGTTGTTGTTGGTAACTAACAAACTTTGCTAGTGTTTTTTGTACGCTTTTAACAATTTTAACACATTATTTTATATTAGTAAAACACTGTTTCCTTTAAAATATAATAATAAGTACAATATCTCTTACATTAAAACAACCAACTTTGTTGTTAGAATAAACAGGAGATTTGATATTGATACTAGGAAATACTTTATAAATACGTTACTGCGAGACGTAAGATTTTTGCAGACACAATGTTGCTCTTGCTTGTATCTCGCAGGATCATCTTGCGTAAATGAAAGAACAAGACCGAAAATACAAGACCAAGACCGATTTTGGGCAACACAAACATTCTTAAATAATTCAATAATGACTGTTGCAATTAACTAAAGATTTGTCATGAGATTGGTTAGTTCGATTTTCCTATATCTTTCTTAAGGCAAAATTTAATTGCTTAATATTGTACAGCGATGATGCCCGTAAAAGCGGACGTAGTAGCTGGTGCGTCTAGGTTGTGCCCGGGCGCACGCCGATCTTTCTTTTGCCGCATTAAGTGCAAGGCATCACCTGAAGTAGCAGCAGTCAACACCGCAGCTACCCCAGTCAAGGAAGAGTCCGAACCGCATGCTAAGCTGAGGAAGAAACAGCCGCAGGAAAAAAGATACTGTGTTGTACAGTGTACAGGTACGCCAAGCTCCAAGTTTTTATATAATTTTGATTCATATGTGATCGTAATTTCATTACAGACAACAGATATTTTTATTACAGTTGTGATATTATGACAGTTTGTGAACTGTAAATGTTTTTTTAGGGTATTTGAAATCATGGGCCCCTGCAGAGATGTCAGAAGAGGGTGTAAACACAGCCGATGGCGGCGAGGAAGGCGATACATGTAACCTGTCGTGTTTGGTGGCAGTGGGGCGTGCGCTATCCGATCTGGCGCCACAACCCACTGCACAACCCGTCGCAGCTGTCGGGCCCATCACTAGGCACCTGCAATACGTGTCCAGACACGCTACTGACGGAAAATTCTTATTCGTCGACCAGAGGTTAGAACTTTACCACAAACCAAGACTTTTCGAGTATTCAGGACTTATCGAGTATCTAATCTCTAATTTGAAATTTGCAGAGTGACGCTAGCACTAGGGTTCCTGCCGCAAGAACTACTAGGCACGAGCCTTTACGAGTACGTGAGTGGCCCTGACCTGGGTACTGTAGCGCGTACGCACAAGCAAGCACTACTGCGCAGGGACGCAATGCATACGCCGCCGTACGGGTTTCGTCGCAAGGATGGCCTCATCGCCAGGATTCAGACGCATTTTAAGCCTTTCAGGTAACTGAAGTACTTACTGTAAAAATTTGTGCCCTAATTTGTACATTGTAATTCTTCTCATACCATTGACTTACAATAATTGTAATACAATAATTGTAAGTCAATGTCTCATACCTCTGAATTGTCCGCGATCGCTAAGCTATGTTAGTTAATGTGACTGAGGACGAGATACTTGGAGACATTGCCTCAGTATTCACTGCGTGAAAGGTTATGTAGTAGTATTACGAGCGCGAAACGCAAGTTTCCCGAACGCATTCATTCGTAAAACACGTTTTATTTTTACGTCCCTATCACGATTGAATGTTAAAATGCGCGCGAAAATGTTGGCCATGTAATTCCCGTCTGTCGATTTTGTATACAGAATATACTTGTGTGAATGTGCCCATGAGCTCAATCAATTAATTCCGCCCGCCCCTTTCCCGTTGTACATCCAGACATACGGCGGGATATCATCCCTACTTAGTTGATATAATCAAGGCGTGCTAAGCGCTTTTCGTCTTTACCTATTTATTTATTTATTTATTGGAATTCCCTGCCTGCGACTGTGTTTCCGAGCACATGCAACCTATTTGCAAACCCGGGTACTCATTGGCGAGCTGTAACTGTAACGTGACAGATACAGTAACGAGGTTCTAGTGTCTACGCTTGAAACAGTCTTCAATCAGACAGTTCACAGCGACCGCACGCGTTCCGCTCGCAGCAAGCTCGCGAATCACGTATACACTTTGATTTTTGGTAACATAACATGCAACGATTACGGTTACATCGCGCTAGTGAGACCTGGCTTAAGGTGCGACTGAATGGCATCTTCTGGGCGAGCTCATTTCTTCGTAGAGCGTATCTTTGCTCCAGGGCTAAGTTTTTTTTATGATACTAAGTAGCAGGACGAGCAAGTCGTGCCTAGTGGTAAGCGACATGGCCTGTCCACGGCAGTTGTAGGGCCACTCAGAGTTTTAAATTGCAAAGATCTGACGGGCGCTGCCACAGCGCCCGTTGTCCAGAGACATAAGTTAACAAACCTCATGTGACTGTTATTTCACCAGCCCTTCAAAACCAAAACGGAGTAATGCTCACATTACTGGTTCGCGGCATAAATATACTAACTCTCACAAGGAGATCTACTGCTACGAAAGAGCAAATCCATTTACTTTAGAAAAAATATTTCTGGTACAAAATATCTCGAATGCCCTGTTCTGATTATTTCAACAACATGACTCTTTGAACGGCAATAGTATGACTAAGATGTAAAATGTGACGTGTCCATTCTAGGAATCCGTGGACGAAGGACGTGGAGTGCTTGGTGGCGAACAATACGATCTTGACAGATGCGCATACGCCGCACACGCACGACGCATCACTGGCCTCTTTCGAGATGTTCAAGCAGAGTGAGTACGAACTATAATTGCACAAGCCTTACATTGACAATTTTGTTCTCGCTGTTTGGTGCTAATTTTAACTCTATCTTACCCTTTTATAACTTATGTTGTCAAAACTGTACGTATCGTCCCAAGGCCATGTGTTACATCACAATAACCATGTAATGAAAATATCGCATTCAAATTTACTAACTGGTGCCCGCGACTTTGCCTGAGTGGAATAAATATTTCGAGTAGCCTATAAGAGAAAAAATTAATAAATTTAATAAATTAATCATTTTTTTAATTTGTGGTTGTCTATGTGTGTGTCCTTGGCATCCGCGATACTTCTAAGATTTTGGATTTTCTCATGCTGTCTCAAATAAAAAAAACACGTTGTATGATAGCTTCTATTAATACCCCATACTATGTTTGAAATTGCTATAATTATCTAAACTCGAGGTAAGCATTATTACTATGATCCGCAGTCCAACGTAGGCCTTCTATAGTGCCATGCACTATCTTGCGGTAGACTCACAAATTAGAGAGGAACAATTACTTGTACAGTACTTCTATTTTCTCAATATTCCTCGGCAAACTTCGTGTATCGGCCGTCGTCAGGTTTCATTCAGTTGCCCTTTGCCTTTGGTACAGACCGGACGCTTCCAGTCGACTTGGAACTATATAGAGTTGCCATTACATTTTTTATTTATTATCTGATAGGAGGAAAGCCGCTAAAAACAAAGGCACGACAGGTAATTTACAGCGTGTACTTGTATTACTTACACGAAACTGATACGTTCAAGAAAGACAACAATTGTTACTTTCAAAAAGTCCAAAAGCTTGTGGTGTTTCTATAGAACAGTAACGAATATTTTAAAAGAATATTATAGAAAATAAATCCGTTTCTTTTACTTTCTTTTAATTTATATTTTTGTTAACTTGCTTATTGACGTGGAGTAAATGTTAATAATAATCTCAGTACAGAGTACTAAAAAAACTTACCTCAAAAGTACGTGGAATTACGTCTATTTGCTAAGTTTTATTGAAATGTCCCCTAGTTCGAAATTCTTATTCCACTCAGGCGAAGTCGCGGGACTTATAGGCCTATAAGAGAAATGATTGAAAATAAATGAAAAATTAAACGAATAATTATCTTTCACAAAAGAAACTTATATACCAATGTTCCTCACATGTTATTCAATATAGTTTCAATGTGAAAGTCTGGTGTCCATACTAGGATTAACCTGTGTTATAGAGCACCAGGCTCTCAGCCGTCTACCTCTAAAAAAGATAGACATAAGACAAAAGGATACGTGTACTTAAACAATTACAAAATAAAATTAACTGTTGTTCAATTTGCTTTAAATATAATAGAAGAAAATTGTTAGTATGCTAGGTTGTAAGTGTGTTTATACTTACAATATTATATTATATAATAATATTATATTGTATATTTGCTGTGCTTTTTGTATGTGTGTGAGTGTACGTGTATGTGTGTCTGTGTGTTTGTAATGTTGTGTTGAAGTGCAAGTTTATGTATTAAAATTATGTACGGTAACTATGTATTAGTGATTCGGGGTGTCTGTGTTAGGTGACAATCTGTAATAACTTTTCTGTACCGTGATAATCGTAAGAATGTAAGAAATCCTTAATTGATGGTTATTATAAAATTTATTATTTTAATTTATATACTAAATCTATGGGTTCGAGAAGGAAGGGTTAAGAGGTATGTGTTAAGTATGGGTTAGAGGAAACCAGTTTCATGATTTGTAATAAATAATATTTGATTGGAATAATATAAATAAAGTAATCATTGTTCCTTATTTTAATATTTGTTTTCGTATGATTTGCTTCATTTGGGTATTAATGCATGTGACTGTGATTCTCCTATGTCGCAAATATCTATACCTATATACGGGGTAAACGTAGAAACTGTTAAACAGGTTTAAATCCGATGTTATTTCAATGTTGGGTGGGTTGGTTCTCCAAGAAGATGTTTATTGTATCATAAATATGTGACAGGGCTGAGTGGCACGGTTGACAGCGAGGCGATACAGTCGTCGCGTTTGCTTCCAGACACATTGCCTTCGATCGCACCGAGCCCCAGTGACTTTAGTGGAGTTTCAGACGCGGACCTGGAAATGCAGCGGCTAATCGACTCGCAAGTTGAGTCCCACAAAATAGGAAGCGCTATTGCAGATGAAGCCCTAAGAAGATCTTCTTCAGAAATATCACTTGACCTCCCGACTGATCTGTTGCAAGATGCTGTTTTCAATCAACAGGTAAGATATCTAACATGAAATAAAACTTTATTGAATGTCAGGATGTTTCACCGCAAAGATTTTCAATATTTTTTGTGAAATTACTGCACTAGTTTGTTATAATTGATAATACAAAGATCAAACACTTAGAAAAAATTCCTTCGATCCAGCTGGAGTCGAACCAACGTCTTCTATGCCGTCTACTAAGCCACAGAACGAACCATCGGACCTTACGAATCTTTTCTTACTATGTGCTTGTTGTAGATCTCTGTTTTGGTTTTACGTTAACGACTTTTTACCGTAGCGCCATGTGTGAAAAATCTATGTCTTGATTAATAATTAGACGTAGTTAAGCAAAACGGATCCAATCCACAAAATATGAAATAATGACTTATATGTACCAAAAGGTTTCTAAAGTCTAACCTTTTTTAACAAAAACTCCAACATAAATAAATATCTCTGGAAATACATGACATTATAAGTTTTGAAAATAAAATAAACCGTCTGGAATGGATAGTAGAGAGCAAGGGATTGTTACCCAGAAGCCAGTTTGGCTTCCGAAAAGGCATGGGCACTATGGACAGCCTAAGCATTTTTACATCAGATGTTCGACTAGCCCTCTCCGAGGGAAAACACGTCATAGGTGTGTTCTTAGACATAACATCAGCTTATGATAACGTGAATCTTCCACTACTCTGGCAGAAGATGCTCAATCTGTGTATTCCTGTGAAGATGATCAATGTCATTTACAACATGTTTATGGGTCGCTCTATCGCAGTGCGTGTTAACGGTTCCACAACCCCCTCCCGTATGGTCTGGAACGGCTTGCCTCAAGGTTCCGTTCTTAGCCCTCTCCTTTTCAGCTTGTACACGTCTGACCTCGGCACTTCAGTCAATTGCTTCTGCAAAATCTTGCAATATGCAGACGATATCGCCCTGTACGCTTGTTCCAAATCTTTTTCAGATACTGAAAGACGCCTCAACTCTGCCCTTTTTTACCTAGACTCTTGGCTTACCAATCACGGCCTCTCTCTTTCAGCTAACAAAAGCACAGCTGTCGTTTTTTCCCGCAAGAGACGCCTTCCCGAAACTGAAATACATGTTAATGGAGAAAACATAGAACTGAGGGAAAAAGTAAAATTTTTAGGCATTATTTTGGACTCAAAATTATCTGGCATCCATCACCTAAACTATATTTGTCAAAAAGCTGAAAAAAGCATAAATGTCCTACGTGCACTTTCTGGTGTTCGTTGGGGATCACATCCGTATAACCAAAAGCTCCTGTACAACGCAATCATTAGAAGTCATTTTGATTATGGCGGCTTCCTTCTGGAACCATGCAACAAAATAGCCTTGGCTAAGTTGGACAGAATCCAGGCAAGATGCCTGAGAATAATCACAGGTACCATGAAATCCTCACCAACAAACGCTCTTCAAGTCGAATGTCTGGAGCCCCCTCTACATCTACGTAGACAATTCCTTGCTAATAGATTCCTCTTCAAGATCTTTCAATATTCTTCTCACCCTTTGCTTCCCGTATTGCAATCCTTGTCGGAGATTATCCCTTCCTCCGATTATTGGTCACACAAGAAACCCCCCCTTCTTATCAACAGTTTTAACAAAATTTCCAATCTCCCATTCCCTATTTACCAAAATTATATGAACCCGTTGTTTGAAACTGATTTTAAATGTTTAACGTTTCGCCCAACAGTCTATCTTAGTTTTGGCATCATGAAAGATACCCCTGGAGCAAACCAAGTCTTCAACGATATAGTTGAGAGAGAATGGCATGACTGGACTACTGTTTTTACCGACGCTTCAAAATTACACGAACATGGCGACTTGGGAGCCGCGGTTTGGTTCCCCAAGTTCAATGTCGTACTCAGTTTTAAATCGCCCTATCTGAATTCGGTCTTTTCGGGAGAGGCAATTGCAATACTCGAAGCCATTTTATATATTGAGTCCCATAAAATTAATAAATGTTTGGTTTTCTCAGACTCACTAAGTTGCCTCCAAGACATTATTAAGCTACCGTTTCATTCCAAAGACAATTTCTCCATCACCCTCCAAATTAAGGAAGCTCTGTACCGATGTCATTGTGCGGGAATTGAGGTAACTCTGGCCTGGATTCCCGGTCACAGTGGGATTAGTGGCAACGAAGCAGTAGACGCCTTTGCAAAGGATGCGACAAGAATTGGCGTATGCAAATACTGTAAGTGCTTTCCCAGAGATCTGCTCGCCATGATCAAACCCCAAATGCTAGCGTCCAGGTCGGTCCTTTGGCAGGAATCACGACAAACTGTTGGTAGACACTATGGTAACCTCCAACCAAATCTACCCACTAAACCCTGGTTTTTTAAACGTCGCGATTTGCCTAAAAACATCACTTCCACTATTATTCGTTTGCGCTTAGGCCATGTTTGCACACCTGTATTTTTGCGTAAAATCAGAGTTCGAGATCACTCTCTGTGCGAGTGCGGCCTAGAAGACGGTACCTTGGAACACATTTTTTTCAATTGTCCTAATATTGCTGTTCCACTTTATAACTTACTTTCTCCAAAATTCCCCCGCCCCATTAACATAAACAACCTCTTTACTTTAGTGTTCTCCCCCCATATTGTTACTCTATGTAAATTTATCCACTTAAATAACATATATTTATAAATATTGTTTTGTTGTTTTGTTTTACATTCTCAACTGAGTACTCCCGTAGTCCAACTTACCAACACCGGTTAATGTCCTATTAGAGCTTAGCGAAATTTTTTTTTTTTTTGTTTGGTTTTTTTCTTTCAACTGTGACATTGGCAAAATCATCAGTTCTCATATTGATGGAGCCATAAAAATAAAAAGTGAAGTGAAGTGAAGACTGAGAAGACTTTTAAACTTCAAACTGCCATATCTCGAAAGTGACTGGATGTGATTTGGATCCTTTTTGTTTAAACTACGTTCAATTATAACATGAAACATTTTTACCTGTTGCTGGGTTTAGTTGTTATATCTAATAAATTATTTATGTTCAGTCAACGCTTGTGGACAATATCCTCGGCGTAGACGCAGCCGGGTACAGCCATGTGCGGAACAACGTCCCGCTCAGTGCTGCCGGCGGGCAGAGCTCGCCGCCGCTCGCCGGCAGCGGCGACACACTTGGCGCCGTCACCCCGCCGTCTGTCTCGCCGCCTCTCCCGCCGCTTGGGCTCGACGGCAACGGTGAAGCCGCCATGGCCGTCATCATGAGCTTGCTAGAAGCAGACGCCGGTCTCGGGGGACCCGTTAACTTTTCTGGATTGCCTTGGCCACTACCATGACGTCTGGACTTGCCGTACCTTACTTAAATTATTTAGGATTGGATCTAACAGTAAAAAAACACTAATTTTGTACCAGTATCTATCTAATAAATATATTTTTGAATATTTATTGCAAAAAATGCGCTGTTTTAGAATTAATAATGAATTATATGTACGTCACTACGGTCACTACGAATTCCTTGGTTTGGCGGCAATATGCATTCCTACTGCGTGGATGTTACTGAGGTGTTTCTCTGTTAATTTTATTATGGTACATATTAAATAACTTGTAGAATGCCTAGTCCCAATTGTAATTGATATGTGTAAATGCAAGGCCTTTTTCTAGCTTATTATACAAGATCACCTCATTGATGATTTTTACTTGCTGTTTACTGTTTTATTTAGATACATTACTTATATTAATACATTAGAAAAATTGGGTTTAAACGATGGGTCTGGTTTAGGCTATCACATAAGTGTATATAGGGTAAGTTGGAATTTGTACGTTAATAGTGCAAGAGGTTTAAGAGTAATTGTTATAGCCATGTTTTCGATTAACACTCGAGTTATTTGTAAATACAACAATTGGTGGAATCACTACCGCGTGCTAAGAACCTAGCACATAGAATTATTATACATGCATAATTACTATAGTTCTACATGTGTTTTCGCTGTTGTGACGATGTTTTAGCTTCTTATAAATAAGAGGCTTAGGATTAGTTATAAGTATTTATAATGTTCATTTTTGGTTCCATTTAATTTTCAAAAGAATGCTCGTTTTATAAAAGTGACCTTGTGACATGCGACTGTTTTTGGCTTAAATTTTAATATAAGTTTAAGAATGAGTTTATTAGGTCAAATTATAATATTTAGAAACAACTAATCCGATGGCAAGAAACGTCTTTTTTCGAAGTCTATTAAATATAATTTTATGAAATAGATACATATAATAATTTTTATAGACAAGTGTGCAATGAAATAAATTCGTATTAAGTATTATTTCTTTATATTTAAGTTAGTTAAAGTTCGTCTGTTATCTAAAAGAGTTTATTTATTACTGTAGTACCGGTTTAAATTAAGGTAACTGATTTTATAAAGTAGTCCGATACAAAAGAATACGCTGACGGGCAATATGCGGTGTGAACTGAACAAGGACAACTGTAAAATTTGAAACAACCAGAGATGGGTTAAAACCCAAACAACCCGCCCAGGTTTTAACCCATTTCTGCCTAAAATCGTAGACGGAGACATACGCGTAAAATAATACGGAATTTGGTATAATTCCATACTTGTTGCAAATTTCGAAGCATAGAATATTTATTAGACGAAACAGTCCTCCACTCCACACAACAACCACATTGCTATAATCACGATTAGATTTTTATGAAAATCGATTCTAGTGTATACGATAACAAGTCTTTGTATCGATGAATTTCAATGTGATTTTCCAATAGAAAGGCAAAATAGGTAACCAAGCAATAAACATTTTGTAGTAATATCATTACATTTGAAGTAAACTCGATTTACAAATATTTAGTTGGAAATAGTTTTTGCCTTCGAATTCGAGCGTTAATGCGTTTCAACCCGGCTGCTTGCCTATCTCTGGAAACAACACAATAATGTTGTGATTTGTCAATTACGACATTTAAGTATTCTGCACCTCTGACTAAAATAGTCATAATAAATGTATTATATGTGTAGCTTGAGTCAAAAATAAACCCTTCAAATGAAGTTATGACTGTAATTTTACCCACTAAGCAACGCACCAACCTAAGAGTAAAGTTATTAAAATTATTATTCTATCAATTATGTATAATACAGAACAACACTTTATCACATCTAGTAATTAACATATGATTGCACTAGCTAAATTTAGTATTTAAGCGAAAACGAAAGTCTTACAATTGATCAAAATTTCTTACCTGCCACATTGCCCGTGAGTGCATTTATTATTTGCATGGAATCTGAATTAACCCTGAGTTTATTCACGTAACGTCGAGTTTTGTCTAGCTATTATTCGATAGTTCTTTCTTAAATTTGATGTTACGGGAACAAACAATAGCAACAAGAGTGCACAGGTACGCGTCGATTTGCGACGTGTACGGAAGCTAAGACTCAAGAGCTCAGCGTGAAGGTAATAAATCCTTCAATTGATCGCTATTGTCTTTGTTAGAATTATTGATGGTTATAAAATATTATAGTATATATAATAAACTTGTGTTTTGAAGGCGTGTTTCATTTATATTTCATGCGATTCCCACTTACAAATAGTGAACTCATAGTATAGTTCTATTAGCGAGAGCTCTGAATTACATTCGTAGTGGTGTTATGTTTTAAATGTACAAAGCATTATGACGTTAACAATTTAAAATAGTGGAGTGTCATAATGAATTTCGACAAACACTATTTCGATTCGACAGTATTTCGACTACACATTAACATTACTTCGACAAAAAACATGTTCGACAGGACATTGCTTCGACAAAACAAACACATTCGACAGGTCACTACACTGACAGAAAACTACTTCGACAACACATGTATTCGACTTAGTAAAAGAGACTCAGGGTCGTATTCCAGAACTCTACTCAATGCTCAAGTCAGGATTTGAGTATGGTTTAAAGCACTCGAAATCATACTCAAGTCCCTGCCATTAGGATCGTAATTCCAGTGCTTGAAATCATACTCAAGTCTGCTCAAATCCTGACTTGAGCATTGAGTAGAATTCTGGAATACGACTCATAGTCTTTTAAGGCCTTTAAAAAAACCTTGACTAATTTTCAACGCCTCACGACTAGTCTAGTTTTAGTCTAGTTTAGTCTAGTTTAACCCTCAAGTCTTGAGTCATAAGACTAAAACTGAAGACTAATTCGAGTCGAAGTGTTTTAACCCTAGGAAGCTTAAAAGACTTCTAGGAATAAAACGACTGGCGCCTCATAGCCTCGGGAGTCGGGAGTGATTTTATTTCTACCCACAGGGTATTTATTTTACGATTTTTATTATAAGTAAATAAACGTGATTATTTACTACTTATGTCATTTTTATTTATAAGCTTCGGGTTTAAATAAGACATAAAATAGGTATAAGTCCTTTGCAAACAACTCGTGTCGTTTAAATCTTTTGGTATAACGACTGAGTCTTATTAATAAAAACTCGAACCCCCAGTCTTAATTTTAGAGTTGAGTCCTGTAAAATGGAGTCGAGTCGTTATAAAACGCCTTAAAAGAGACTCCTCTTTCATCACTAATTTGACAAGTCACTATGTCGACAGGACAGTACAGAACACCGGAAACAGTCCGATGTTGCATATATGAACTACTTAATATAAGTGCATGACTGTCATCAGTGGTACTTTTCTTTCCATTCGTTCTGTTATCAGAACAAATGGGATTTACGATTCCCAGTAGTTGTCAGATTATTTCCAATAGTCCTGTTCGCAGAACTACTGGTATTGTATTCCCATTTGATCTGTTAACTTTGTATAGGTACTGAGTAGCACATTGACGACAAAGCTTTACCTTTTTTTTTACTAGTAACACCGCCAAGTACGGCGAATTTACGTTTCCCGTCCACATTTTTTTTAGTGGTCGTGTGTACTAAAACGAGAGTAAAAATATGTGTAAGTAAAAGTACGTATGGGACTTGAGTAAATTTAAAAAGTGAGCAACGAAACAAATTTTTGTATATCTTAACTACATCATTTATTTTACTATTTAACATTTTTTTACATGTTGGTTAACAAATGAGGCTATGAGTTAAGGAGTGCGTACATTGCTGAGTCCACTAAACCGCTATTAGAACACCATCCAGTCTCCTTAGAGTATATTGAATATATTTATTTTGTCGGTTCGAATAGCACATTTTAAAGTAACAATAATAAAGCGACCCTTGAAACAAAAGGCACAACATACAACAGGATCCTGCCTGCTTCTTCCTCGAGATTTGGGCTGAGCTTTCATACAACACGTATATTTCAAGACCCATAATTTATCAACCAACGCCTAGCGGACAATGTGGTTTCAGCAAACCAGTAACAGTATTTTGCTATTTCGACATACGCCGCTTAGTCCAAACAACTTAATACTATTGGTTTGTCAAATGTGATTAAGCATAGATTTTACTTAAAAATATTTAGTTTAAATTTTGCTTAATAATAGAAAGGTGTTCTGTTTTTATTTTTTTTTCCCCACTCTACTCTGGTGGAAAATGGGCCTACCCAGTGCGATTCGTATTTATTTAGCCTTAATTACCTTTTCACAAATGTTTTCAAAATTTTTATTAAAAGTCACGAGGAATTTCTAGGTAGATCTTTGAATTCCAATCTCGAGTCGGAAAAGTGACACGCCTCCTAACGTTTAATATTATTGGCGTATTTATTTGCGCTAATTACAAGAACATGGCACAGGCAAGATATCCTGCCAAAATATATTGTCAAAAGTCATACATGAGATCTCCAAAAATTAATTATCTATGATGAGGATTTAGCCCAAAAACGTCTAACATTCCGTATACTAGCTTTTAAGTTCAATTTACAACTAAAATAATAAAAAATATATTAAACAAACGCTGATTTAAATAACAAGTTAGTAAAAAAAATTGTTATTGTGCAATAGCTATTCTTTTGACTACACTGGACAGGATCCTTCAGTAATTCGTGCTTTTAACACCAAATTTGTAATAAATTTCTAATAGACTTGCTACCAATGACATAGCTGTTTTCTTTTATTAACAGCAGACTATTAGTAGCGTAAAGGTAGCGTAGCATAGTCAGGACTACAGAGGCGACGGAGTATTACGATTACGAACACTAGTTAGACTCGTAGTAAATTGGCAGTCAATGGATCCGTCAAGACCTGTTGAAGTTCTTTAGAAGTGCTACATATCGCTTGACACTTGTCAGGCAATGGATGCCTCAATTCTCATAGACACTGTCATTTATTATTAAGCACTATTCTGTGGTTACTCCATAGTGTCTCCATACTTGTTTGTAGATGGTTTTTGCTGAGGCTGTGGCTGGCGTGTTATCGGAGGTGCCAAATTGGGATCCATCCTGGAACAAACAGTGATACTAATATTGTAACTTGCAAAAGAGAAGGTACAATTAATAAAAAAGTGACCAAATGTGGTTGCTTAAGCAAATATCATTATAGTCTGTCTTTTTTGAAAATGAAATGGAGGAGGATGATGACAGCTCAATTCAAGTTTTGCCCTCTTGCAAGCAGCTAGTGATTGCAGTCGATAAACATAATTAGTCGATAAATTCTATCAACTATCAGCTGAATGTTGATTACAATAAATAGCCGAACTTGGTTCATTAGAATCATCATCGGCCCATTATTCTTCCAACTGTTGGGCACAGGTTCATTTTAATTATAAGTTCGTACATAGATACAATACTTTTGGAACTATGTCTATTAAAAATTAAAGATATATTTTAATGTTTTTCATTTTAATTCAATATAGATAATCTCACCTGATTTCGATTCTAGTTGGCCAACCATCAAAATAGTAATAAAGAAGGCAATAACACAATTAGTAATTATTAGAACTTTGTAACCATTGACTTACAAATTTGTAACATTCAAAATTCAGACATTACCGTTAAAACTGTTGGCAACAACTATATGACTATATAAAATTTTATGAACACTTGCAACCTTGCAAATGCATTACAAATGTCATTTTATTCCGTTTTCAAAAAACACAGACTATAAAAAGTTAATATTGGTTACCTATATGGGTTTTGTTTAGAGTCGGAGTACTCTCCTCGATTCCTGCGCCGAAGTTCGTCATAGGACAATACTGGGCGGGCTGACCCTTCTGGAGGACTTTCGTTTATGCTTCCTGGAATAATCAATGAGTACAGTAAGATTAAAAGGTAAAAGAAGTTCAATTTTACTTACAATTATTAACATTATTTCTCTCCACAATTATAAAGCAAGCATACTTAATCAATATTTTCTAATTGCAAAATTAAATATGATATTAATTGCAAATGTTACTATTCTACTTGGTATGAATGAAATGGTATGGTGTAACGGGCTGTTGTCCGTAACTCGACGTGGCGACTATTTTGCGTTACTATTCTATTTATCAGAATCATCAAGAGGTCTTTGTTAACAAATTTTTTTGATTCGAGATTAACATTAATGGCAATTGAAAACATGAGAAAAAATCAAGTGTAGTTTATATTACAGTACCATGGTTGTCTGGATGATACGTGTCATCACTGAAGATGGGCCTGTCAGTGTCAAGGTCTAACGAGTTGCCCGGGCCAGCATCTGAGTAGATGTCATTAGGACCCGCGCCAAACATGGACGGTGCTTGTTGATGCAATGATGTCCTGCTAAACAATTGTCACTAAGTACGATGCCTTCTGCTATCTAGCAAATTTGGCAAAATACATCGGACAGGTCTGGATATTCAGAAATAAATTACGAATCATGAATCACATGCTTTAAAAATGAGGTGCTTTTTCCTCATGAGTAAAAAAAAGAAAGAAGATAATGTTTAATATCAATGTTATTATAGAAACAATTAAAGACAGCCTACCCACGTATCTTTCCATCCTTTCTTTCCCTGAGGAGCTGTCCAATGTAACTGCCAGGCAGGGCCATTAGTTTTTCCGCACATTTCTCCTGATATGATATTTTCCCGATGAAGTATCCCATTACCACAGCTAATGTCACTTTCGGGATCACTCCAAACCGAGGATTGGCCTTTAAGTGTCCTGAAAACAAAAGATTGAATAGATTACTATTACATGTACATTAGTACATACCTATTCTTTTAAGCAAGAGTGAACAGATTCATAGCCACATATCATTAAATGAGACTTTTTGATGAATTCAAATTTAAAAAAAGTATCAAATCAAAACAATCAAATGCATTGTTTAATTAACTTAATATACAATCAACACAAAATAAAAAGCACACAGAAACGAAAATACATTTATTACATATATCAAAAATTCACAGAGCATTTACAACAGGTTTCACGTATCAGCAAAAATTTCGCAATTAATGCATTTTTATGTTTTTAGAGTCTTCAGAGTTGTTTTTGTTTGTACAACAATATCATAGTATGTTTGTACTGATTTCAGTCCAGTTATCAGTGGGACATGAATAAAACCAATTTCATTAACAAATTTTAGGTACCTTGCTGAATAGCAAAATATGTCCCTAACCCCATTGCAGTACCAAGTGGCAGGGAGCGCTGGAAGAAGCTTTCTTGGTTGCACTCGCCAAGCACTCTCAACTCATCAGGGGAGAACTTGTACGGCCCCTAAAGAAGTAATATAATTTTAATTTCTTGTTTATGCATACATTCATTACTCATTCAATGATAAATCTACCCACAAAATATATACAAAATTTAGGTCAGTATCATAATGACTATACTTATCTTCAAAATGACTTGATCAGCATAAGGACTAGATCGCAAAACAACTAAACTTCGAAATGACCATTTCGTTAAATAGACCACATGGTAAAATGACAGGGCACAGTTTAGTCAAAAATCTGTTGTTAAAAAAATAAGAATGATCACTTCATAGGTACATCTTGTGTACCATTTAAAAGCAAAAAGTTCTTATCATATATTTTACTAAAAGACATGAATATACTAGCCACTTGAAATCTAGGTAGCACTATATTTTCTGAAAATTGTAATGTCAGTCTTCATTTGGTTCACGTGGCTAAAGATGCTTCTATTTATTTTCGAACCGGGCTCTTTTTTAGTGAATGAAGAAATGCGATTAATGTAGGCTTGCTGCATTCGAATATTCCGCATATGATTCAAGAAACACATAGTAGATATTATGAATGAGAGGATTGTAATTTTATTGACCAATAATTTATAGTTGGTAAGGTCAGCCGTAAACAAATAAAAATACCAATTATAAAAATTTAGTTTCATTTTTTGTGATGATACTAAATGTTTAAAAACAATGTGGTCCATTTAATACGGTCATTTCGATATCAAGTCGTTTTGCTATCAAGTTATCGCAAGTTATAATCTCTCTACAGGGGTGGTCGTTTTGCGATCTAGTCCTTATTCTGATCAGGTCATTTTGATGATAAAGTCATTATGATACCGACCCAAAAATTGTTTTCCTGTTGATGTAGGTTTTCTACCGATTATTTAATAATGACTTGTGTCACAGGCGTACAACGTATAGAGTTAGATAGGGTTAAGAATGATGTAAATAACCTTACTTGAAATGGAGTGGCCGGTTGCGGTGGCGGCGGCGGAGCTTCAACTTTCACACCACTGTCTTCATATACGAATGCGCTAGGTTCGTTCATCTTCTAATACATTGATAAAAATTGCCAAAGCCGTTAATTCTCTATTAAAATGACGCAAATTCTACGACTGATTTGCTCGACTATGATCTAGAGGTAAAGGTAAAGGTAATAAATAGTGACAGATGTGTATTCGTCCATAATTACATTTTCTTTTTTTATTATTATTAATAGTTTTGGCTTGGATACAAGTACTTTGAGCCATATCTTCGTTTAATTATAGGGATCCTCAGTAATATTTGTCATTGTAGTTCTAAATTCTATATAATACATTATGTTTTCACTTTCTCTTAAATAACTGAGTTCACTTATTTGGGTTTATTCATTGACCTACCAATAAATGGACGTCAGGTTCGCGCTAAAAAGTGTCCGCACCTGTAGGGCGTTAAAATTGCATACAGAGCGTCAATCGCGCAATAGTCTTCGTTTGTTCGAGTGACAGCGCGGTTGCCAATCATGCAGTACCAATATATGCAGTACAAATAACTTGTAAAAATTACTGCTGTAAAGTGTGAAAACAGGATTTTGTATCATATTTTCATCAATTCATCATTTCATAAATTCGACATAATAATATATATAAAAAAATAATGAATATTTACGAGAAAAGCTATTCCATTACTCTTGTGTTCAAGTAATTTTCAGTCGAAGCTAAATAAGGTACATTTTGTTAAGTTTCCAGTAGAAGCTGAATACGGTGTTTTTTGGGCCCTTAAATTGTTGCAAGCAAATTTAGGCAGTACTGCAATGACGTTACAATTTAAATTAAATGTTTTAGTTTTTTATATTTCGTTACTAACGTAGTGACGTTTGTATAGGTTAACCTCGGACATCTTTTTCGTGGTTTTTGTATTAGACCCGATGTCCATTAGTTGATAGGTCAATTTATTAAATAGTCTTTTAAGTGGCGGGAGTCAATATTTATGTATATTCACTTACATCACATTATCTTCTACCACGTTGAACATTAACTTTGAATTCGTAATTAGTGGAATTTTCAGAATAAAGTATTTTGTAATTTGATTTGAAATAAGGAATATAGTTCTAACTTTCTTCATCACTATTTCTTTCTTCGAAGAAAAAATTATTCATAATGTACTTAAAATCTTCAACTTCAAAAACCCGCCATTTTTCATTTATTCATTACATTTTCTTAAATTTCAGTACGTTCAATTTCTTCACAGTGTCGGCAAGTGGTGGGTCATGGAAAAATCATTTTTTAAAATACTACTCTACTAATAAGTACTCATACTTAAAAAATAAAATAAAACACTTTTATTTATTAGTACCTTTGAAGCACAAGTTTTGTACGGCCGGTAATAAATAATGTGATTTTTTTACGGTTGATGTTAACAAATCGCTGATTTGTTGTTGACGAGAGTAGTACTGCACAAATTCATTGATTGTAAGACATACCGAATGAATAATATGGGTACAGAACCAGAACGTAGCTTTACTCTTTGCTTGCCTCTAAAGGAAAAGCATTTTTAGCATTATAAGCCATTTCGTTTTGAGGAAATCTGAATCAACTACAATAATTAACATAAAAAAATGGGTGCCTCAACTACGTTATTAAAGGAAATTTTCGTTTTAATGTAGACAAAAAGTAATGCACTAATGCAATATTAATTAAATATAAAGTACTAAAACCAGAAATTTCTGATTCAATAATATTAAGTATGAAGATGATTTGATGTATGCAATACAAGCTACGCCTTTGCCTTTCTTTTTTTCAGTTAATCACATCTCGATGACATATTATCGATTGCGTCAATCTCTAGGAAAGTGGGGTTATGAATTTCAGAAATTCACGTATTTGATATATTTTTTAATTGAATACATTTGGGTTATTAATGCACTTGAATGGTATAATTTTACGGATATTTTTATGTAAAAAACTTTTGTGGTAGTGTTTTTAGACAGCTAAAAATTTAAATAGTACTTACATATGAAATGTACAATTCAGCGAGTTTTCCGTTTTAGATGAGTTACATCCGGGCACTGAACACATTACCATGACTAATAAACGTCCGTTTAACACTTTCACATTGTAAAACAAATTATTTTTCAAAAATAAATGAAATTTGTTTCGTTGTCAGCTGACCCTAGGTTCATACAGGCTCATAGCGTATAATGAAGTGGTCTCGTCTACCCATCTCGCTCTAACATACGTGTATACTAACGCTCTTTCACTTGCATTGCCAATCTATGAGTACCTATATACTAAATCTATGATGTCAACACACATTCTTAAAAATTTAAATAAAAATATTTGCATATTACAACTGGTAACTTATTTAGTAAGTCACCAAACTGCTGTGCAGTTTGTTGGCGACATGCGCATTCTTACTTAATTATACCTACTTTATTGGTATATGACATTACATACAATTAATTGTACTTATAAATAAAATATAAACATTTCTTTAAGAGGCATGCCTTTAACCTACATTTTAGTACATATTTACATATCGTCTTTTAACTAACTGTCAAGTACAAGTCTACTCAGGTTTCTGCGGATTCTAGTATTCACGTTACTAGCTTTCTTAAACAAATCAATATATCAAGCAATTTTAACTGGTAACTTTAGTAATAGTCACCAAACTGTTGTGCCCCTTTGAACACTATTGGCCGAGCGCCTTTGATTTGTGATAAGCCAAACGAACTCTATACACGTTGGCGCTCGCCTTCACTCAGTCAGCTAGGCGAGTGACACCGAACGATGGCAAGGTAAGGCAAATAGGCTGTCTATACGTTGGTTTTGGCCTTTACCCGGCAACGTTGGATTAACATGTCATTGTATTACAGGCTTTAAAAAATAGTAATTTTCAATAGATAGAGTTGTCATTGGGAAAAATCAGAAACGAGTGGATAATTTTGTTTTCAGGAACTGAGAATAACTAGTAAATGAGTCTTGTTTAATCTAAATTGAACATAAAATTATTTACCAATAAACTTAATGATGGAATAGCATTGTCATGTAATCTAGTTACATTCAAAGTTCTGTTAAAATTTGACTCTTCAAAATGAAGCGAACAAATGAAGAT